CTGTACAATTTTTTGAAATTTATGCATGGAATCAAGGAAAAGCGGATATTACGGTTGATTATTGTTATTAATAGTTTTACTATTATTATTTTTTCAGTAATTTTTATTAATTCAACCTAACAGGTACTGAAAAAGTAAAAAAAAGCAAATAAATTTCACAAAAAAAGCAAAAATATTCAAATGGCCTTTGGAATATCAGAGGCCTGAATGTCCTCATCGATTTTCTTCGTTTTTATAAGAAATCTAAACATCAGTCCAAGAGGCAGACATGAGCACATGATATAGCACACCTTTTTTTTAACATTTTTGAAGCGCTGTCAATTGACAACGCAGAGGCAACATGCTGGCAGACCATTTTTCTGTAGTCCTTCACATTGTCTTTAATTGAACAACTCAGGTCTGCCAAGTGTGCACTTCATATACACTTTTTTTAATCATAAAAAAACTTGAAAAATTGATTACTAAAAAAGTCAGAGCCCTTGGCGCTGCTTTTTTACTCTTGTCGCATTCTTCCCTAAATTATGTTTATTGTTTTTTTATTCAATCAAAAATCTTAATACTAATGTTTAAATTTTAATGTTTAAATTTTAAAGTCTAGCAGCGCCAAGTTTTTTTACAAGAAAAATTTATTTATTTTGTTTTAATTAAAATTTTTATTTTGTACTGTTACTTTCTTAATTCTTTGTAATCAAAATGATTTTTTGTAATATTAAAAATTTGTTAAAGAGAATTAAGAAGCTATTACCACTTGGGTTACAATAGGAAGACCTTTGAATAGGAATTCGAAGATACCACTCGGGTTTTATTTCTTTAAAGTAGTTGCATAACAATTATCTTTCAAAGCAATACACATATTCTCTTTACAATTGGCGCAATTAAATTTAAAAATTTTACATCTTTTTTTGAAATACATGTCACTTGAGTTAAGTTAGGTAATATAAATTTGTGAAAAAGATATAAAGTTACCACTTAGGTTAGATACATGTCACTTGAGTTAAGTTAGGTAATATAATTTTGTGAAGAAGAAATTAAAGATTTTGCATCTTTTTTTTTAAATACATGTCACTTGAGTTAAGTTAGATAATAATATTTTGTGAAAAAGATATAAAGCTACCACTTAGGTTAGATTTTTGAATTTACAAAATACATTTTATGTACTTGGCACCTTTTTTTACCTTTTTTGAAAAAGGTAATTTTGTACTGATATTACCTATTTTGTAGTGTTAAGCAAGGATCTGCAAAACATTTTTATTTTTTATTTTTTTATTATTCACAAAATTAGCAATAACAACAAATACATAAAAATTAATAATATTTAAGTAAAAGTAAATTATACATTTCTCACAAAAATTGAAGGAACACTAAATTTATCTTTAAAAATAGGCAAAATTCAAGCAGCTGTAACTTTGTTAAAAATGAATAAAATTTAAATTTCAAGCTTAAAACCTCTACTTTCGAAAGGTTACTATTATTTTTTAGTTTCTGTAAGTTTGGTAACTTTTGCATATAGAAAACTACGAGCTGGACAAAATAGAAAACTTTCCTCTCACTTTGTAGGCCTGTCACATGCAAAAAAAAATCTGCGAAAATTTTCAATTTTCTAATGTGAAAGCTTGAAGTTTTCTTTTCAAAATCTTCTTTTAAAAATGTTTCTACGTGTCTGCGTTGTTGTTCTGTACAATTGTTTTTTGGGTCAAAATAAAAAAGATAAAAATCGCTAATTTTTACATTATTTTCATCAATTTGTAAAATATCTACGTTATTTAAAAAAATTTGGCAATTATACCGTTTAATAGAGCAAAGTTTCAGCTTTAAGAATCTGTTTTTTTAATTGCATTACGATGATTTCTAAGGGAGTTATGAGCAATCAAAGTCAAAAAGCTTGTTTCTTGTTCAATCCGCGATAAATTAGTAACAAAAAATTGTAGAAACATTTTTAAAAAAAGATTTTGCAAGGAAAACTTCAAGCTTTCACGTTAAAAAGTCGAAAATTTTTGCGGATTTTTTTTGTGAACATGACAGGCCCACAAATTGAAAGAAAAATTTTCTATTTTATCCAGCTCGTAGTTTTCTATATGTAAAAATTACCAAACTCACAGAAACTAAAAAATAATAGTAACTTTTTGAAAGTAGCAAGCTTTAAAATCTTTTTTTTTTAATTTAAATTTTGTTCATTTTTAACAAAGTTACAGCTGCTTGAAGTTTGCCTATTTTTAAAGATAAATTTAGTATTTCTTTAATTTTTGTGAAAAGGGTAGATTACTCAAAAAATTGGTAATTTGTCAGAGAAAAATATCTAGTTTGTGAAAGTTAGTATTTAGGTAAATATGAATTAATTTCTTTTGTAAACTGGTAATTAGTAGAAATAAATTCTTTATTATTAAAATAACTAATAGATAGTTTATAAAAAATAAATAACTATTTATTTGAAAATTAATAATTAGTGAAAAATAATTATTAATTTTTGCAATAATAAATAAATAGTCTCAGATAAATTACTTATTAATCAAATATATACAGTATATATGCGTACATCTGGATTAATTTGAAAGCTTAGTCTCCATCTTTTGAAACATAAAATAATTTTATGCCACGACAGTGAAGTGCGGAATACAAGTTACGGAAAAATAATGTTCAAAAGACGAATCTTTAAATGAATTAGCAACCTTTAAATAATTTGAAAAGATAACACAAGATGTTAAATAAAATGCGCCATTTAACAATAACTTCTAAAGTAACAAGTTTAATCTACGGTAACCTAAATTTAAATGTGAAAAGAAATTAAATTATATCAATAAGTTCTCGAGTTGTCCCCAATCAGAAATAGATATTAGTCACGTAGAAACGAATTTCCTAATTTGTCTGAGTTATTCGATACAAATGTTCTAGTTTAAATGTGACACACTACTTTGTAAAATGTTAAGGAATTGTTTTCTCTACTCTACGATCAATATAGCAATCTTTATAAATTTCTTTCTTTCTAAATATAAATATTCTACACAATCGAAAAACTATTTTACAACATGAGTAAAGAACGAAGTCAAAAAGCGAAATAATCAATTTTGACGTGATTAAAAGGGATCATCAATGGCGATTGTATTAAACTCTAGTCCATACTGACTAAGAATCGCGGATTATGCGTGAAAATTGTAGAGTTTCTTGACAAGTCTTATGTACATACAGATGGATTCAAGTGTTTTTGGCTTTATCTGGTAATTACTGCCTACGCGTCACGGAGTACCCTAGGCGTGCGCGCTCGCGCTTAATTGTAATAAAAGGAGCAAAAAAGCAAATTAAATTAAAATTAAAGGAGCAAAACTCGTGTAGTACAATTGAGCGCGAGCGCGCACGCCTAGGGTACTCCGCGACGCATAAGCAGTTTTTACCTAAAAATTGACACATTTCCGTCAATAATCAAGATTTTGGAAAAATTCAAACGCCATTTTGTTCGTCGTAAAAAGAGGAACAAATTTTCTCTAGTTCATTTTTTTATAGGATGTATAGTTTGATCGCTAGGGCAATTTAAACAAATAAATTGTTAATAACTTTTTATTGCATCGACTTACGAAACAACTATTTACAGATTCCTGTTCTACGACCCAAAAAACATAAAAAAACATTAACTTAAGCCATCAACCTCGATAAAAATGCTCAATCGACCTGGCATATGGACTACAAATAAAATACTCGCTCATTTTCGAGAAATTTTACTCTAAAACGCTCGAAATAAGATCACGACTGACCGAAAATAATACACAATAACACACACAAACAACACACACACAATAACACACTGTACAGTTCGCGGAAAAGAGTTTTATAATATACGACAATTCACAATAAAACCGCGAATTTTTCCTACGAAAAAGAGCATTTACTAGATACATTCAACTTTGGCGCTCTCTATCTCTAGTGTTTTTTGAGCCACCGCAAAAAAATATATACGAAAATTGTAGAGAATTTAATCCTCTACAAGTTTTATCGGAACATTTTTTTTATCAAACTAACAGGCAGCGATATAAGTGTTAATAAAATTGTTCAACCCCTAATTGACAGCACGTTTTTGGTTTTAACTTTTTTTCCTTGACAGCTATTAAAAATTTTTTCGAACAAAAGTTGTAGCAAATATTTTTCCCTACAAAACTATAAAAAAAAGAACAAAATGCGACCAATAGAAGCCGAGATATTCATACTTTAAATATTCACCCTTATTTTCAAGATGGCCGCTGACGCACAGGGAAATTTTGTTGGAACTTTGTGAATTTGGGCATTTCCTATGACCCTCTACTTACCCTCAAAAAATTGGCTTGTCAATCCGTTTTGCCATTTTCAAACCTAATTTTACTGGCCTAAGTTGTATAAGTAATATGTACGAAATGAAATGTTCCCACTCTTCAGAAGACGTGCACAAACAATAACGTATCTTTGAAATTGAGATTGAAAGCCTGGAATAAAAATGAGAGCTTCGAAGAAATTATAACCTATGACCATGCGTCTATCCTTGTCTATCATCTTTGTCTATACAAGGACAGATATAGAATTTGGTCGGTAATACAGACGGCTTTAGGATCCCCTTAAGCCGGTCTTGAAATAAGAAACCGACTATGAATACCGGCCAATTCTCGCTTCGCGGGGCAGAGAGCGGGACTTTTTTCTGCCAGATTTGTTTGTTTTGTGCAAAAACGCGTCGATTAAGCCTAAATTCAGCGAAATCGGTGAAGAGGGAGCTCTCCTTAAGTATTACCTTATTATATATATTGTATATGCAAATTATTTTGATCAATTACCCTCTTCAATACGGTATACTTCTTCATAACGGGTCAACTCGGAAAAAAAATATTCTCGATGCATTTTCTTTTTATGCTTTGTAAATAGTGTGTGTTCGTTGATATATACATGCATACACATGTGAAATGGGGAGTGAGAAAAAGAGATAAAATGACATTGCATAAAAAAATCTTCGTAGAATCATACGATATCTCGTGATATCGCGTCGAGACGGGACGATGTTACATATTGCTGTAGTGTCACATTGAACGTTCAGTTAACTGCCGCAAGTGACGGTAAGAACTGTGACATCCACGTTAAGTCAAACATTTTTAAAGGTTTGTGAACATTAATATTCATTCATCCTAAAAATGTTAATGCCAACACTGACAATAATGTTATATGAACTAATGATACTATATGAAAATAACAAAACCACACTGTTCGAAAGTTTTGTGTAAATTGTGCTCTGAAAATCTTGTTAATAACCATATTTCTCATCAGTTTATAATATAAACTTTTTATATCTAAATTTTGTCTATATTTTTTAACTAATTTAATATTGTATTTCTTTTTATTTTATTTCTTTTTATTTTCACAAACTGCAAAAATATTTATTGATATGAAAAAAACTATTAATCTCATCAGTAATTAATTATGTGATATAATTAAAATAACGAACGAATAAAGTAATATGATCTAAATACTGTTTATAAACTATTTCTTTATATTAACAAATTCTTTTCTTCGTCAGTGAAAAATTAACAAGATTTATATATTTTGACCAAACTGACTTTAATATCGAAGATTCTTACATTAACTCGACGTTTCGACACTGGTTTTGTGTCCTTATCAAGAGATTTCTAAAAAGTATACATAACGAAGTCATTACAAGCACATCGTTACAGAAACGAATGTCGCACAAGGAACAATTAAAAAGGAAATATCTACCTATCTCATCATGTTCACGAATTATTTTAGCCACACATAAAGTTCTTGCAGTTCTAGTAACTTTGTCAAAAATTCTATTTTAAAAAGAGTCGCAATCCAGAGAGCCGTAATCATAATGCGAACGGAACGGACAGGTGACACGTCGTTCCGAATCGAAAGACAGCGATCTTCTTCTTCTTCTTCTTCTTCTTCTTCTTTGTGATATGGCCTTTGAGCAGTACTGCTCTTAATATGGCCAGGACGAACCAATTGTCGTATGAGCCGTAAGGCGTGTCTTAATTTTCAGTTGCACTGACGCAATAAATTTAATTAAACTCACAATGCAGACAGTAACAGTCGCAATACTTAAAAAAATTTTTTCCGGACAAAACACGTCCGAACTGGTCCGTGCCCGTTGCGTCTCTTTTTAAAGACAGCGATCGACTAATCATCGAAATATAAATAAGCGACTAGGTCAACAGAAAAAAAATACACATAGAGAGAAATTATTAGGTAGCTCTTATAATTCTGTCGTATAGCGGATTGAGATTATTTTTTTATAATTGTTCCTAAAAGCTCATCATATTTTAGAAAAAAATTTGAGTTATAAATAATAATTTTATCAATAATTGAAAGAGATGAATCTTTTCCTAGCAAAATGAATATAAAAATAGCACAGCAAAATAGAATGAATAATGTTATCCCAAAAATCCGATTTATTTATTGATTTGTTGACAGAAATTTCTAAACAATGGCAGCGAAGGCAATTCGAGAAGCAACTGGGAAGGATTTGATCAATCGTAAGCTTCCTGTTGGAACAAAGGCAGCAAAATGTAGATTTGTACTTATTACGGAAAACACAAACTGGATTGATACCGCCAACGAACATCCGTGGCTCAAAACAGAAAGATTAGTTGTTAAACCGGATCAATTAATCAAGCGACGAGGAAAACTCGGATTAATTAAAGTAAATGCAGATTTAAGTACAGTACAAAAGTGGATTGACCAGCACATGAACAAAGAACAACGCATTGGCAAGACAGTCGGAAAATTAAAAACATTTATAATTGAACCGTTTATACCGCACAAATCGGTAAGGTTTGCTTTATTATTTTTTTATATACAATGCGTCCAAAAAGTTCTAAAACTACCTTTTTAAAACAATAGTTCGAGTAAAAGATTTTACTTTATTCAACATAAATCATTTTATCTATCGATATAGTGTAATACAATATACAACAATGATCGCTATATAAAAATGATTTGACAGAGATGCTAAATTTCCTTCGTTAAAAATCTTTTAATGTTTTTTTGTCATTGTCAAAAAGTGATTTTCTAAGCGATTATTGATGTTTGTTGGAAAATAGAAGTCTAATAATTATTATTATATAATAACGAATTAAATGAAAAGAAAGAATAATGCAATATAATCATTAGTTGATAAGTATATTTAACAGCTGAAAAAAATGTGTGTGAGCACATATAGAGTAGTAAAAAAATCACTGGAGTTTGCCAATTCTGGTCAGATTCGAATAATACAATTAAAGAGAAAAAGCTGCATTACTTTTAAATAAAATTTACCATTTGATTTTGCGGTTAGGTATTTGATAACTAAGCCTTTCCAATCAAAAAACCTAATCGATATTCTTTTGACCTTTGACTTTATCTATCGCACTTTCGATGGCCATAGCTTGTTTGGACACTTTTATCGTTTCAGTAGCTGATTAAGTTTAATGTAAAACTTTAACAGCACGATTCATTTCTCAATCAATGACAAGCAACAAAAATTTTTCAATTTCTATTATGTATATATTAGCAGCTCAGACTATATTAATGGATCGTGCAAATTGGATACAAAGGTTGGCAGTTATAGTAGTAAAAATTTTAAATAAATTACGAATAAGTAATGCTCGTAGTATTTTCATAATATAGAATCAGTTTCAGAACTTTGTTACACACATTACATATAGCGTTTTACAGGTGTCGATTCTTAGAAGTCGAGAAATCATGCTTATAAGATGTGTGACAGTACAGGATTATTATGAATTAAATACATATAATATATAATACATCTTTATATTTATATTATAGGGGGAGGAAGCTTATGTCTGTATCTATTCTCATCGTACAGCTGATACAATATTATTTCATCATCAAGGTGGTATCGATATCGGAGATGTCGATGCTAAAGCTTTGAAATTAGATATACCGGTTGGTGGTGAGATGCCTGATCGATCTACATTGATTGATAGACTTTTGATTAATGTGATGGACGATAAAAAAATGTAATAATGTTAAATCATCTTAAATAATATTATAAATGTTATAGCTTTTTGTTTCTACTCTTTTTTTTATTTTAGGGTCATTGCTGAATTCATAGAATCTCTTTATAAGCTCTACGTTCATTTATATTTCACGTACTTGGAAATCAATCCATTAGTGATAACGGATACCGCAATTTATGTTCTCGACCTCGCAGCCAAATTAGATACTACGGCGGATTTTATATGTAAACCAGATTGGGGAGAGATCGATTATCCACCGCCATTTGGAAGAGATGCTTATCCTGAGGAAGCCTATATAGCTGATTTGGATGCTAAATCTGGCGCAAGTTTAAAGCTGACGATTCTTAATCCAGACGGTCGCATATGGACTATGGTTGCTGGCGGTGGTTGGTAGACGCGGTCATATATAAAATAACTTGCATTTACTCTTTTACAATTTCGTTTTTTCACATCAAACAATTTCTTTGTTTTGTACCCGAATACCATATTAAATTAATTTTTATAGGTGCATCAGTGATATATTCAGATACAATTTGCGACTTGGGAGCAGCTGGTGAATTGGCCAATTATGGTGAATACTCTGGCGCTCCTAGTGAACAACAAACTTACGAATATGCAAAAACTATATTGAGTTTGATGACAAAAGCAAAGCGTTCTGATGGGAAAGTACTTATTATAGGAGGAGGAATTGCCAATTTTACAAATGTAGCTGCGACATTTAAAGGCATTGTTAAAGCTCTTCAAGAATATCAATCTAAGCTAGTGGAATATGATATAAGAATTTTTGTCAGAAGAGCTGGACCTAATTATCAAGAGGGCTTAAGGTAAAGAAGGAAAATTTCTTACTTTTTGTTGTGTATGAGACTTAATCAGACGGGGCTCCGCCACCGTGATCTA